GAATTCATTTCGCATTTTCTCGACGATGACATAAACGGTATTGAGCGATAAAACCTTAGAAATGACATTTCGAGTATTTTTGTGATCTTTTGTGTGTGTGATTATGTTTCAAAATGAAAATTGATATTCGAGTGCATTTATAATTTTCGAATATCATATACAAACTTAAGACTTCATAAATTAAATTTTAGTTTTTGGGTAGAAAACAATAGTTAGCAAATTTCTTTCAGACTATCTGCATATGAAAAAAAAAATAAAAAAATCATGTTTGGGAGAAAAGAAATGGATTGTTTTTAACATATTAAAAGAGATTGAGTAGATGAAGTTAAAAAATTATGGGGACAGAATATTGAAATAATTGAACAAGAAAAGCAAAAGGGTCCCAGCAAACGGGAAAGCAGGATGATCCACAAAAGAAAAATGAAGCCTCTGTAATCATGAAAACCTAACTCAAGGAATGCTTGTAAAACAACTTTCTTTCTGCATATATGTATATATGTATGTATATATATGTATATATATATATATATATAGATGGTGGAGGCTAAGATCATCAAACACAATCACAACCCATGACAATTATCATCTTAAATGCCGTATAATCCGCCGAATTCATTATAAACTTTGATACAATTATACCCATGATAATACAAAATTATATATATATATAGATAGATAAATGTGTTTTAGTTAACTAAGTGAAGGAGTCAATTAAAAGATTATATTTTTCTTAATGATGGGATAATAAGATTCATAATCCTAAAACTTTAACTCTTATCATGTAATTAATTAAGTTATTAAGGAATCCAAAAACTTTGATTAAAAAAACAAAAAAAAAAAAAAAAAAACATTTGCAAATTGCTAATACGTAATTATTGTACTAGGGTGGTAGGAAACAATTATTCAAAAATACCAAATCCTAAAATTATATTATATTATTATTATTTTTCATTAATATGATAAGCCAATGAAAGGTGGATGATATATATATATATATATATATATATTGGGGTAATAGAAAATAAGTGTGATATTCATCATTCCCCTATCATAGACTAATCTTTTGGTTGTGTATATTAGGCAATTGAGAGGTTTGATTTTTTTTATATATTATCTTTTTAATTAACCCAACTCATAAAGATGGAATTATTGTATGTGTTGTATCGTAGTAGGACGACAGACCCCACTTCCGCCGTTGGATGCAATCATAATTTCTGGCTTCAATCATCATGCCCTTTTGGTCAAAATAATGGTGCATATAATTTTATATATATATACAAAATAAAGTAATTTTTTAAATAAAAAAATTCGAATTAATAAGTGTTATCTAGTGGGTAATGACAAGTGTTTCTTCTTTTTTATTTTTTATTTTTGATAAATAATATATTACAATCACGGCATGTGGTGAGGTAAAACTTAAAAAATAAATTATTTTTGCTTATTTAATTTTGGTCCATCAAATTAGATACGCAAAGTCATTACTCTTTTCTATGCTTATAATAATTACAGAAGATATGTGTGAAATGAAGTGAAGAGTCAATGATTGCGGTCAAAATTAAAACGATCTTAATGATAAATAATATTACTAAATATTGTTTAATTTAATTTCAAAAAGGGATCTTTCTTTGTTATTTTGTTGGGAGTTCACTCTACTTCCACCTTATACTTATTTTAAGAGATTACAGTTCAAATTATATATATATATATATATAAACACAAATGTGATTCAATATGTGTTACCCATTTAAGAAAATTTCATGCGAACAAGAAAGTTCAAACTATACGTTATTTTTTATTCCAATATTTTGAGCAAGTTTGAATCCATCAAGAACATCATGGCATCCAGCAGACGAAGCTCGATATTCACATGAATTATTCATGAAATTAGTCATCTAGTTATTTTTTTCAGTCATATTAATATTATATATAATAATTTTATACAATTAGTGAAATATTATACTAAAATTTTAAGTTACAATATTGATTTTAAAGTGGTCCGTGGGATCTTAATCTTAAAAAAAAAAAAAAAAATCAGTTTTAGATAATTATAATATAACAAATTAAACAATATTACTTAAATAATTAATGTTATAAGTTTGAGCATATAATAGTAATAATAAATATGCACAATAAAATTTGCATAGAAAATTTGGGTTTGTTTGGAAAAAATTAAAAAAGTAAAATTGAGAAATAAAATAACCAACAATTACTTATTTGGTTGATGTAATTAAATTTCCCCAATTTAACCCAACCAATTTCCAATTTTCCAAAACATAAGAGGCAAAAATTAATTAACAAGAACTATAAACAAAAAAGAAAAAAAAATTAAAAAAAAAAAAAAGGAAAATCCAAAACACATCCTATTAAAAAGTGAGACCAGTTATACATTTTTCATAGTTTGGAAATTCTGTGGACTGAAATGACCATTTAGTCCTCGAAGCATACTTGTATTTGCTTTGGGAGACACGTGCCCATGAACCCGTCATCTTCCTCCTCACCAGCTCCTCTGAAACCAAGCTTAACTTCCATTGATGTAATCTCCTTGCCGCCGTTGTTGATCGTCTTCAAGCTCGTTTGGAAAACGTCTTTCAGCCATTTCTCAAACGAGCTGTTGATAAAATAACCAGACCCGTCACTTGCCTCCTCTATCACCCTCTCTTCAACGCTGAAATTCCCTGTGCCGATCACTTTTTTGAAACTCGCCTTGATCTTGGCCATGAAATCCTCCTTCATCTCTGCGTCTCGAGCTTGATTCCGGTCGAAGACGAATCGGTTCCGGATCGAATCGAGGAACCCGTTAATGGCGATCGAACGAGGATATTCGTGAGTACTGCTCGAGGTCTCGCGGGTTATGTCGCTTGATATGGGGCTGACCTCTCCTTGTAATAACTTTTCCTGGTCAGCACCTTCGTCTTCCTCATCGGCTTTCATGTTCAGATCAAGGGTGCTGTTGAAGCTCGATTGCCTTGAAAAATCTTTCTTGATCTTCCTTGTTAATACGATGTCATTTTTTTCCTCGATTCTTGGACTCTTCTTAGCTCTGTTTGAGAATTCCCACTCTGTTTTTCTCTTCGGGCTTCTTTCCTTAATTGTCAACTTCATATTTATAACAGAGCTCTGATTCTTCTTCTCCTTCTTCTTCTCCTCCAAGTTGTTTGAAGAATCAGAGACTGTTAAGATAAATACTGTTTGGCAAGATTTTGAATCTCTTCTATCCAAATCTCCGAAAATCCTTGTCTCGAATCCATCAGCAAGCAGTTTAACGAACTGTGTATCGGCAAAATCAGCGTCTTCCACCAAAACAACAAGCTTCTCATATCGTTTCATGGCGGTTGTCAGCATTTTACAGAAGGGTCTCGCTTCAGCATCGTCTCTGTTTCTAATGCTGATATGCAACAAAAGTTCAACAGAACCGAAAATGGATTCCGCAATAACACGAGCCAGCCTTCTTTTACCTATCCTGTCGTTTCCCTTAATCAGCATCCAAGTCTCTCCCATGGCGGATTTTGAATCCGCGACCAAGGTCTCTGCAATCGAAGGCAGAGTTTCATACTGCCATGGCACGTTCTCTTGCAGCATCCTAGTCAACTCAGTGAGTCGTCTCGTCCTCTCGCATACTTGTTTTCCCGAGTCTGAAAACTGGGAATGGCCGAGAGCAAGAGTGATCTTCACTTCCGTACCTTCACTGTTCTTGAAGGAATCGAAACTCGGCTCACCAGCTGGTTGGTGGTTCTTGTGAGTTCCGCCATTGCCGAAGTTGAACTCGATGGTGCATGAATTCTGTCGCCTGAATTTCGCCAATGAGTTGGAGGTGCAACTCGGTTTCAGAGTCGAGTCGACGAAGGAAATGGAAGCTGAGTCAGGGAAAATTGTGGACTGAGTCGACCACCATGGACACGATGAAGCGTAAGAGTAAGTTTTACCAACAAAGCTGGGTTGACTGGAAGTCAATGGAGATGAAGCTTGTTTACTCTGGTGCAGGCTGCGGCAATGTATGTTCCATTTCTTCCTCAAATCAACCAAATCATCCTTTAAAAAAAAAAAAAAAAAAAAAAAAAATTAATAATAATCAATTAAATTCTCAAAAATAAAAATAAAAACACCCAGATGAAGAATTCATTGCAAAAGCTGATTTCAATTTCATCAATGTTTTTACTGAAATTAATTGTAAATAATAATTTTTTTATATTAAAAGTACGTATATTTTGACACACATATTATTATAATATTACACAAAAAAAAATATAATCTGATTTAAAAAAATAAATATATTAATTATTTAATTAACAGTGTTAAATAATAGATTTATTTTAAAAAATTTAAATTAAAAAGAATAATAAATTTATTATATTATATATCCGCACTTGTTTTAAAAGATTTACTGACGAAACTTCTCACAAACTCGAATCAAGTTCTATAATTAATCTAAAAATCAACACTCTTTTTTTATAGAAGAAAACTACTTTGCTTAAAAAAGAAAGACTGATCTACGTACATACATGTATATCTCAAACTCATTATGTATGTGTATACATACATATATGTACGTGTATATATATATATATATACATATATATATACCTTTTGATTTGGAGTGGAGGCATGTTGTTGAAGCCAAGGAGGGAGTAGATTATTTTGAGGTGGAGAGTTGAAAGCTTGAGCTTCTTTATGATAATTTGAAGTGCAGTCTGCACAGCAAGCGAGTTCTTCCTTTTCGTTGTTATTACCAAATGGCTTTCTTTCCAGGATTTCATGTCCACTGCATCCCATTCAGCATGCAACTAATTTAATTTAATATATAATAACATAATCATCATTAATAATAATAATAATCTATACGTATAGGATTAAATATAATTATTAATGTTCTAAATTTAGGTCAGTTTAACTTAATTATGTTTGTAAAGTTGGCTTGAAAGTTATTCAATTAAGCACTTCCATTACACGAAGTAAATGTCCCACACAGATATATAGTAAATTGCTAATGTATATTGTATATATATGTATATGTACATGTACGTCTGAGTATTGAATAATTTTTTTGTCCCTAAATTTTTATTTTTAA